TTGGAAACAGAAAAGAGAGGGAAGTAACTTGGGGAGCTTTGCTTATCATTGCCAATTGCCCTTTTCTTTTAGTGGTAATTAGGCAAGTTTCAAAAAACTTGTGTAAGATCCAAATACAAAGAGATGTTTCCATTCCAGAAAGGCATACTGGTAATACAACAGAAGTTGGTCTGAAACACCTTTTTATGTGGACAAAAAGTGAAAGAAATGTTTGTCTAGTGCAAAAACTAGTGCATGCTGCTTGCACTATACTCAGCCTTCAGTTCCCTTGTTTTTATGATTAAACTCTGCTTTCTTTTAAAGGGAGGTTTGTGTAGCTTTACTTCTGCTGTGAGGTGATACAAAATTTTGAACAGCTGAGTACTGGCTGTTCATTAGGTTGTTAATGTGGTAGGGATGCATTTAATAAACCCATTGAAGCCTATGCCTGAGGAGTTCTGACTTGCTGTACTGATTGCCCACTGTGGGCAGCTCCCGAAAGTATATTCCTCTGTGTTCTGGTTAAAATTGTGCAAGGCCTTTTAAAGAAAAAAAAAAACAACCCTGCCATTTCTTTAAACAAAGCTCAGAATTAGTCTGTTGGGCTTGGTAAATAGGTGTGTATTTTAAAAGTAGAAAGTCCTCACTTGAATTGGGGATTATTCTCTGGATTTCAGCTGTTAGCATTGGTCTGTTTGGCTCCAAAGGCCTGTTGTTTTCATCTTGGTTGTCTTTTGCTGTTTCTGTCCCAGCAGGATACCTGCTCTAGAGTGAGAAATTCCACCCTTTTTTGGAAAACTTTTTAATAAAAAAAAAAGTGTTGGTTTAACTTAATTTCTGTAGAGTGTTGCTTATTTCCAAGGCTTCACAGCTCTGTACAGTAGAAATCCACTTTGTAAGCAACAGACAAGCAAACAAATCTAAATAAGTGTTTAAGAATTTATGCCAGCTGAAGGAGCTTGAAATGAGAAAAGCTTGAAAGCAACCAAATGAATGAAGAAGTAGTGCTGTACACACAAAGCTTTGGATCTCAAGCTGGGTTGTTTCTCTTCAAACAAATACATTGTCAACACTGTACATTTTATATAAGAGCCTTTTATCCTCGAACACTACAGACTGCTTTACAAAAAATATCCCGATGTTTACCAGGCGATGTGGCTCCCTGTGGGGTAAAAAGCACTGTTTCAAGTGTCAGGCAACTTGCACAACAGTTTAGCGCAGGAAGGGAAGAATACTCCATCTAAAGAGAACCACTGTAGGGTGGATTTATCCAGCCGCAGTGGGATTTGGCCAGGATGCTTGAACTGGTATTGCTGCTTCTCCGTCTGTGAGCAGCACATCACTCTGCAGGTTCACGCTGTGTTGTGTGGTATCAACACAGGAATCTCCGTTGCCACTTTGGTACCTTCTTGGAGGTACGTAAATAGTGTGTGTGAGTGCTTACTTAGGTGGCAGGCAGGTATTACTTGCCTGTCCTCGGCAAGTAATACACTGGTTAAACCCTAGTTTGAAGAAATTGGGGGTTTCAGAACCCTGTTTGCCCTTTCTCTTCCAGCAATTTCCACTCCCGATCCTCTTACTGGGACGTGCTCTGTACTTGGTGTGGAAGTGCTGCACAGTGGTGGAAACGGCATTTTGACACTGTTCATGCATGTGGTGACAGAGAGCCTGTAGCAGTAGGTAGTGTCTCATCATCAATGTACTGTGGTAGTCAAAATCAGCCCAGGTTATATTTAGACAGCACACACCAAATTTTGTACTGTCTAAAATTAGTATTTTTCAATCTGGATGGATCATACCTGGGTTGTATGCTTCTAAGTCAGGGCACCCACCTAACCAGTTCTGTACTGGGAGGGGAGAGGCAGAAAGTGAAGGTTCTGTTTTGAGAGATACTGGGGCTATGTGCAGAAGGGGGGACTGTTAGCATAAAAGAAGGAAACAGAGGAAAAGAAGAGAAGGCAGAACAATGCCTGGCTGAAGAGAAAAGGTGAGAGGGGAAAAAAAGTGAAGAAAAGGAAATTTGGCAGTTGTGGAGAGTGGGCATGTTAAAAAAGGGTGCACAGACAGTGCTGCTAGGATTGTGTAAAACATCTTGTTCTAGGCAGGGCTGGAAGGCTGAGGAGGCTCTGAAGAGATCATAGGAAAGGGCACTGTTTGCTGTGGGTTAGGCAGGACCCTATTTATGCTGTCAAGGAAATATGATTTGAAAACAGGACTAGCATGCTGATATTTTGCGTTAGTTTTTTTTCTGAAGCCCTACTGGCCTGGCCACTGCTAGAAAGGAATGGCTGACTTTTTTATTCTTTCTTTTCTTTTGCTTCTGTTTACATTGGGGAACTCCCTGTAAGATGGGCAACTGAGTACTTATACACATGCTTAGCTTTAACACATAAATTATCCATTCCAGTTGGTACTGAATTATCTTAATCTGTAAAACTGTTAAGACTTACAGTTATTTTGTGATGAACCCTCCATTCCCCCTCCTCTCAGCAAGTGTCCCTTCCCAGACTGCGTCAGCGCCTCTGGTGCCATCATTTGGCAGGAGCCGCAGAGGATGCAGCCAGAAGCTCCCAGAGAAGCCAGAGACAGTGTTGTTTTCTTGTGGCAGACTTAGTTTCCACATGACTGGGACCAAAAGATCCAAGTCCATGTACATCTTGGGTTTCTCGGCAACTCATCCCCCTGTTGCCAAGGTGCTCTGCTGATTCAGGCGACCTTTTAAATCCAGTGCTTTTTGCTTTTTGGGCAGCTCTGTGTGCTTTTTGTTTTGCAGATACAAAATGTTTCTCTTCTCCTAAGTCATATTTAGAATTGCTGAAAATAAAGAACTAGAGAGATTCAAGATACTTGGTCTTTTTCAGTGGAGAAACAAATAAAGTATTGGTTCAGACCCCATCAGGTTTTTACTCTTAGTTATGTCTTCATTATGTCTTCTTTTTTACTCATTATTTCTGTTATTTTCTGGTGCTGCCATTGTGGTATTTTTCTAGTTTCCAAGGATGTTTTAATTTCTTAGATCCTCCTAGAAATTTGCACTGACATACAATAGCCTGTCTCTAAGGTTTCCTTTTGTGGGCAGGTTCAGTGTGTTAAGTGAGGAACAGATCTAGATTTGGGTAGTTCCGTAAGTATACGGATGTTTATTTCTTTGTGCAGAAAGAGGGACCACACATGGAAGAACACTGTGGTAAAGGAAAATAAGATATAGTAGGGATTACTGGGTGAAGTCCAAAGCTAGGAAAGAGATGCAGACCTCTCACCCCAGTTCAGCCACTGGCTTGCTCCGTGAACCAGGCATTATGTGGAGCCAGATCTACAGGGCAAGGAATCCTTCATTGATTTGACATGAGGGAGGAGGGGGAGTAAATTGCATTAAATTGTCCTGTCACAGAGGAAGAGTCATTTTAGACAGTTTCTTGAAGGATAAAAGCTTTCTTTTGATATGGTTGTTATTAGAAATAAGGGGACTAACAGAAGGTCCAAGTATTTCTTTGCAAAACCAGCTTGGCACACAGCTGTGACAGCAAAAGGTAGAACCTCCTGAAAACGCAGCTCTAAAGGGTGCAGTTGGTTATTAGTTTATGGCAGGCTGTGAAGAAGGAAAGCAAAGTGCTTTGGTTTGGGAACTTGGACATGTCTTGGTACAGGGGAACCTGAACCTTTTATGGCAAGGACAGGTGGCAGCAGATCTATCTCCAGTGGCTGTGGCACTATTATAGGTTATTATCTGAATTAGCAGATAATGACAGAAGCGTCATTTAATAATTAAAGCCTTGCTTAAGCTGCTGATAGCTCCGTACCTCTGTCAAGAAGGCTCCTCAGCAGAGAGGTGGGCACACGACACTGAGACAGGGCTGGGGTCTGTTTCTGTCTGTGCATATGCAAAGCTAGTTGAGAGTAAACGTGGATACGTTGACGTGAGCTGCAGCCCTGCTGCTGTGCAGAGGTACCCTAATGCGGTGGTATTTCCTTACAGCAACGGCGGCCTGGACCCATGGTCTGCAGGGGGGGTGACCCAGAACATCACCGATTCCCTCGTGGCAATTGTGATCCCAGACGGAGCTCATCACCTGGACCTACGCAGCCGCAACCCTTTGGACCCCAAATCTGTGCGGCAAGCTCGAGCCTTGGAAATCTGCTACATGAAGCAGTGGATTGAAAAGGCCAGGCACAGCCACTGAAGTGGTACTGCGACAACTGTGGCCGTTATACCTCTGTTGGCTTTGGTGAGAGCAGGGCCAGGCCTTAGTGCACGGTTGTCTGAACATTTCACTCCTGTTTCCTCACCTGTGTTGCAGTGCTAACCGTTGCTTGTGCCCGTGAGAGAAGCAGGCGGCAGACAGATGGAGAGTGTCGTCAGATAATAAACTTTAGTCAAAGTGTGTGGATTGAGCTGCCTGCTCTGGCTTGCTTTCCTCTTCTGCTCTTCTCAAATGCTGTACTTCATGGTAAAGTCAAGAGTTCCCGTTTTAGGCTTGATGCCTTCCTCGCTGTGCTAGGTGATTGTCCTGACTGCTGGTATATACAGTGGATTAAATGGCAGTGCTGTTGATGATGAAACTCCTGCTGCCTTCAGTGGGATTGAATTTCAGGCATCCTTGGCTGCTGTAAGTCGTCATGGCAGGGGCATGGAGATAACGGGGGAGCAGAAATCACATCCTACTGTGATATTTGGTTGAGAGGTAGGGAAGGCATGGGGAAGCTGGCTGTGCCGTTTTTAAAGAAACTAAACAGTGCTTACCCTTTGGAATCAACGCTGGAAAAGAAGGAAATTCCTTCTCTTTTTTTTTTTCTTAGTTTTCTGGCAGCTTATTAATCAAAGCCGCCTTAGGTGGCTTTTCCATTCTGTGCTGTACTGAATGGTCAGGGCTGGGCCCGGACTCACTCTGCTGATAGCTGGCTGAGCACGCACAAGCTGCATCAGGGTTTTATTTCTTCCTTTGCTGTTTGTCCTAATCCCGAAATATCTGCCACTTGATGATGGTTGCCAAAGAAAACTCTGGGTATATTTTGTGTATATGTGTATCCCCACAAACACTTAGCTTTTTCAAATCAGGAAGCTTTCGGAGCTGTTCTCGTGAAGAGCAAATGTGACACTTGTGCTGGCTAGATCTTATGAAGTGACAAATAATTGGGGCTGTGCCTTGTGTGGGTTTCCCCCTCCCCCCTATTCTGTGTATTGTTCAAATTCTGCATGATCTGTTTGCTGATGGCTCTTCAATAAAAGCCTTTTTAAAAAAATTGTTTGTGGGACAAACTATTCAAAACACAGAATGCAGCTATCCTCTTGGATCAGCCTAAAGCCTGATGCTGAGCTCAACAAGCCAGGTGCAATGGGCTTTCTGTAAGGCTTCCAAACCAGACAAACTGCCCTGATTCATGAGACAGCATATTTGACATTAATAAATGGCCGGGGCAGTCCCCTCGTTTTCCAGCTTTGGCTTCATTCACACTGAAGCCCTTCTTCAGAAAGGATTCTTTGCAGTTTAAAGGACAACTCCGTTTCAGAAAGACTCGGGCATGGCTTCTTGTCCCCAGACCCTTAAAATTCCCATTCTGTTAAAAGTTTTCTCAGCTTTGATGATACGCCTGATAGTGGTGTCTTTTCCTAAGACAGCAGGTGGCTTTTTCTGTTTCCAGTCTCCTCCCATCCTCTGGGAACAAAGCAAACCCAACACTAAAATTTTTTTATCTTTTAAAACACTCCTGTGCATTTTTCTTTCCGATAGTGTTCCTGGCATTCCCTCATCTTGTGTTAAACATGGCATTTATGTTCAGACTCCGCAATCTGAACCTCTCGTGCTCTTGACCAAGGTAATTGCTTAAGAGACTATAGAGAACAAGACCAGAGAAGAACCAGAGGGGGAGAAGGAATAGCTATGTAGAACTTGCCTGAAACCTGTTGACCGAAAGCTGTTGGCAATCCCTTTTCCAGTAGTTCCAATTTTTGGTACTCTTCTGTAAACATATTCTAGTCTCTTGCTCGTGTACTTTATAATGACATGGTGGCCTTGAATTTTCTGAAATAAATAAAAATAATTGTTTTCTAATCAAGTGAGTTACAGTCAAGTTTTTAGAAATACCATTGTATCTTCTGTGTTAACTGACGTCTGGTAGTGTCCTGGTTTACTGCAGGGCAAGGAACAGAATCTACAAGAGTAAATATAAATTTGGGGGTCAGGAATGATTTGTAACTGCAAGCAAGAGCCTGGTCCAGCTGCTCCCACTGATTGCTCAGGGTGCTATTCCCAGTGCAAATTCTGGGAAAAACACTTCCATGTTGTATGGAGAAGGGCGTCAGGGGGGTCATGCAATGGGCTGTGAATGCTCCGGATTAACAGCCACTGTATACAGCACTCTCTAGCAATTGGCTTGTGGCTCCTCTCTCTCCCTACTAGCCAGCTTACTGTCTCAGGGAACAGCTGCTGCTTTGTTGTTTGGAAAATATTTTGTAGTTTCAATCAGAATAAGTAATCCAAACTTACATTCCTCTTTCCCCTGCCCTCCTGCCTTTTCATAAGCAGGAAAAAAAAATGCCTTTAATGAAACTTAAAAAACAACCCTGCCATGTTGTATTTTGAGAAGTTGCATTTAAAACCAAATTCTTCAGTGTTTTATGGTTTGGGGTTTGTTGGGGGATTTTTTGTTGTTTGTTTTTTAATTTTACTATTCCAGTTTCTGTCTGTGAGACTGATTCTAGTGCGCTTTGGATCAGGTTCTTACTGCTTGGAGCAGCTTATGAATTAGGTGACTGGCTTTCTGTTGGTTTTAATTGTTCTTACTTTTTTTTTTCCCCCCTCAAGTTGAGTAGTTGAAACTTTAGGTCGTATTTGCCTTAAGCGTTCAGACTTCATCTTAAAATCTACGTACACATCTCTGTACGCTACCGAGGGAGACTCTGTGGTGTTTGGCTACCTCATCTAAACGTTACCTCTCCTGCTTGTTTCATGCAGGTGAGAACAAAATGAGCCATGGGAAATGGCCGGTTTCTCTTTCCAGGTATGTGATGATGGGCCGTACTTCATCGAAGGCTTATGTACGTCCTTGGCACGTGTCATGAATGACTGGAATTTAAAAATGTATGTTTTCTACTCCTTGGGGAAAATGCAGAAGGAAAAAGAATGAATGATTTGCCCAAAGCATGAATCTTACTGGTGAAACTGCAGTTTGTATCAATAAAAATATGTTCAAATAATGAAATGTGAGTTTCTGGGACTGGATTTTGTTTTGCAAGGACATTGAAGTGTCTACCCCTGAAAGAGGGGAGGCTTAGATTAGATATAAGGAAGAAATCCTTCACTCTGAGGGTGGTGAGGCACTGGTTGCCTGGAGCAGTTGTGGATGGCCCATCCCTGCAAGTGTTCAAGGCCAGGTTGGATGGGGCTTTGAGCACCCTGGTCTAGTGGAAGGGGTCCCAGCCCATGGCAGGGGGCTTGGACCAGATGATCTTTAAGGTCCCTTCCAACCCAAACCATTCTGTGATTCTGTGATGACATGGATTTTTATCCCTTGGCAGATGTGGAGTTCTGCAAATAATGCTGTCTTGTGTGCTTGACCCTGGTGGAGCGGGAGGACAACTAGTTAAAGTAATCCTCAAGTTACACACGGAGCAGTCAGGATGTCAGAGGTTGAGCCTGCACTTACTTGGGAGTTTCTCATTTCAGAGGTTAAGCTGCCTGGTGAGGAGCAGGGCTATGAACTGGTTGGTCTCCATAGGTGACCATGTTGAATGCAATCAAGCTAGCTGTAATGGCAAAAAATGCAAGCAAGTCCCAAGGAAACACACGCTTCTGACACGTCGGTGATGATGGAGGTGGTGTGGGCGGATCCGTAACACTCCCTGACCTGGCAAGTGGAGGCTTTAACTGGGCTGTGTAGCCCAAAGAGTTAATCGGGCAGGGCTGTGGCCGCAGCGTCTCGGGAGGGAGCTAAAGAGCTTCTGCAACTTGTTGTGTTTGTAGGTAATTTTAACTTTGAAGATCATCAAGTATCGCATCATCAAAGGAGACTACAGAAAGGAAAGCCCCTCCTGGAACATGGATTCTGCATCACAGGAAAAGTGTACGCACAGTGAGAATCGAGTTTTGTCTCCCATGCTGTCTGCCCACCAAATAGGTTGCAGACAAATGTCAGTATGCTTTAAATAAAGGGATTATTTTTTTTCTACCTCTGCTCTTAAAAAGGATATTTAGCTGTTGTGAATCTATTCTCAAAGGGAGTGGGAAGGAGTCATAAATGACCTAAAGAGCTTTCTGTACGTTAAAGACTTTATGTATCAACGCTCAGATATTTGAGCTCCTTCCAGGACTAATGGTGGAACCATTGCGTCTTTCTGGCAGCCAGGAGGGTGCCGTGAAACCTGTAAGCTTGGGTTTGAAAGAACCCAGGAGATCGTACGCTCCAAGCTCACATTTTTTTCTCTCCCCCGTTGATTCCGAATATCATCGCTATGCTGTAACCTGGGGGGGGTGGGGGGGGGGTGTTTGGGAAACCCTGTGTTTAGAGGAAAAAAAAAAAAGAAAATTTCGAGATGAGGTGGGTGGTGGTGGGCGGGGGGGGGGGGGGGGGGGGGTGTTTCTGAAACCCTGTGTTTAGAGGAAAAAAAAAAATGAAAGATTCTTATGGTAGTTTGAGTTAAAAATAATATCTCTGAAACTGCTCAGGCTTGTGACCCGATGATACTTGCACTCACTGCCTTGACCAGCTTGAAGGAACGACCTGTACTAAAAGACCACCGTGGGGACGGACTTGTGCTTGTGTTGGAACAATAAACCAGGCCCTCGCAGAGCCGGGTGAGTGACACGTCCGTCTCATCCTTCCGAAATACGCTGCTGCTCCTGAAAATAGAAATCTTTCTGAAGTTGAAACCATGTATGTGATTTTTACTCCTTAGGACCAATTCATCAGTGATCACTTGGAGGGGTTGGTTTGAATCCCGTTGCACTTCTGTCTCTGTCATTTGCCGTGATGGTGTCGTTGGTGTCGGTGTTTAGCGTGTTACCAAGTGTTACTACTGTAGCCTCTAGATTTTTTTATAACCTAGCCTCTTTGTGTGTTTTTAAACAAAAGCTTTGGTCTTACAAAAATGACTACAAATCCAGCTTCTTTAAGACTGTCCATGCTAAGAAACTGAAATGATCTATTTTGGCAATGCAGGTTAGCAGAAAACGTGTGTTACCCTGTGTTACCTGAGCTGTGAAGCAATGGCAAAAGATCTGAACTGAGGATGATATCCGGGATAAATTCACAGTACTTAAGTGCTTTTCAAAATTCCCCTTCTATTG